TCACCATGCTTTATCCTGAAATCAACTGCATACCTTAGGATTCATTAAGAATAAAAGTTCAAAGTAAGCTTGCGTCATTTTCCAGAGTATATGTGCATTTCACTAATGTCCATTTAAGGTGATAAAGCATCAGTTTAAAAGATAGACACTAACAAGTGTCAACTGAAGGGTTCACAAAGGTGGGGGAACAGATTTTAAATCTTTTGAAAAGATTTCCTTCAGAGCTGAAGTGCCTTTTCCCAAGGTAACAGATGACCTAGGTCTGTAATTTCAACCTTTCTGAGGGTCAACGATCCCTTTTGAGAATCAGGTGAAAATCATGCACTTTCTTCACAAAAAGCACGTGAAGCCACAGATGCCAGATTAAGAAGCTCTGCTCTAGGGTCATGTATTCTAACATTTCATGAAATAGGACTGGGTGTGCCTACTGGGTGGTAGTAGAAAACCCATGAATTTTAGAAAAAAGTTCCCCAGAATCTGATGGGCAGCCTGGAGAAGAGCAATTTTTATAGAAGAACAATCCTGCTGAAAAAAACTCTAAGAGAAAAATCTAGTCCAACCCTATCACTAGACACAGGAGGCCCTGGAAACCCAGATTCTCCCAAGTTACCTGCATAGCCAGTGCCAGAAATTAGCTCTTCTAACCTTGGTTCAGTAGGCCTTCACTATCACATGCTGTTATATTCTGCAGTGTTCCAGAAACCCTTACTTTGAGTTAGTTTAATGCCCTTGTAGCACTTATTTTTTTAAAGGTGATAAAAACCAGGTACTAGGATAAGTAAATGGTATATTATTTGAATGAGGAGAAAACTAAATCCAAATGGTATTTTCTAATGATTTTATTTCCTTGCTTTTGCTTTGGGTCAGAATTGTCTAAAAACTCACTTTCACAGTTGTAGGGATGACTTTAAGTTTATAGACTTTTTAACAAACCCAAGATAACTAAGAATGCAAATAAGGAAACTGATTTTTAAAAGCAGTTGAGTATGAGATTAATTTTCTATAAATCATGTGGCAGGCAGCTAGATTCCACTTTATAGTTTTTTGGGGTTTTTTTTGAAACATAGTTTCACTCCTTTGCCTGGGCTAGAGTGCCATGGAGTCAGCCTTGCTCACAGCAACCTCAAACTCCTGGGCTCAAGCAATCCTGCCTCAGCCTCCTAGATAGCTGGGACTATAGGAATGCACCACTGTGCCCGGCTAATTTTTTCTGTTTTTAGTTTGCTTGGCTAATTTCTTTCTATTTATAGTAGAGACAAGGTCTCACTCTTGCTCAGGCTGGTCTCAATCTCCTGAGCTCAAGCAATCCACCTGCCTCGGCCTCCCAGAGCACTAGGATTACAGGTGTGAGCCACCTCGCCCGGCCTATAGTTTTGTTTGCATTTGGTCAGAGATAGTCATATATTTTTAGAGTATTTATAACTGCTAATCGTGTGTCTGGAATTTCTCTCTCCTCCTCCCTTTCTCAAGAAGGAAAAAAAAAGCCCAAAACATCGTTAACCCACTCCTCAAACCAAAACGATCCAATTGATTTACAAGAATAAACATTTTTCCCAAGGTTTTTGTTAAAACAGAAACTTACTTCCTCTAACTACTTAATTCCAGGAAAGAAAATATTAAATACATTAAACTCACACTACCAGGAATTAAAATATACTTTACAGAACCTTTGGTCACCATCAGATCCCAGCTGCATCAAAACCAACACATTGTCTCTGAAAACCTGGAAAAGTGTCTGTGATTTTTTAGGTGAAAAAATACATAGGCAGACTATGTATGATTCAAATTTTGTCACTGAAAAGTATGTTTCTAAAATATAGGCCTGCAGGCATGCACACCTGTACATACCAAGCACAAAGGGGCTACCACTGGGGCTTGTGAGGAAGGCTTTTATTCTTTATTGTATGTGCTTTTGAACTATTAATTTGTTATGAGAGCATACTCTAGTTGTAATTTTAAGAAACTGGAGTGTTAGGCATTTTGATGCTGCTAAAAATAATGCTTTTTTTGCATAATAACAAGTGACACCATCATCAAATTTCAACTCTGGGAACAATGAACAATATGGATTGGGCACTAACACACTTTGTTTTGAGCTTTGACACTGATTCTGAATATCTCTGGACTGAAGATTTCTTATAGCTATTTCATGTATTCCCATTTTTATCTATACATTTATCTCGATAAAACTGTTAGTTGGAGAAACATAATAATGGCGGCGGAGGGGGGGGGCATTAGCCCAAATGATGAAGATAAACATTTGGGTTGAAAACAAAAGACCATTTGTACAATTTTTGTTTGGCAATTTGTTCTATTAATATATCTACATTTCCATTTCTGGAAGTACTCAATAACAACAGCCAGCTTTTATTGAGCATTTATCCTCTGTGCTGCAGACTACTCCAAATGCTTTACTCCTGTTGACTCACTGAATCTTCATTACAACCCTGTGAGGGAACAAAGACAACTTATCCTAGTTGCAAAGACTCTGAACCCACACTGGCTTCAGAGCCCAAATCAACTTCTTTAGAGTACAGTATTAGGTTCACATAAGTGATTATTTATATGCTCTTTTGGTAGGTGTCAACCCCAGATTCCCTGTTATTTGGGGAAGTTTGAAATGAATACCTTTCTATGCTCCAGTATACCTTTTGGTACAGAAATGCATTCTGGACCATGTGTAACATTCTATCTTGTACAGCGTGCACAGGAATCCACAGTGCACCATGGTCTGCCTTCACTCCGCACAGCTTGCAGGTGCTGAGATCTCTACACCTCACTATATCAAGCTTAATTTTCAGTCCATGTAACAAATACCAGATAACAAAAATTGAATACTCTGGGTTGATTTCCTAACCTAACTCTTCATTAGAACTTTAAAGCAAAATGGTTAAAATGCAAATGTGATGTGAATTACAGTTGTTCTTACGTGCTCTGGGAGGGGTTGCCGCTATGACTAAATAAGTGCTACTAAAAATATTTGTTCTTTTGTTCACAAATACTGTAGGTCTCTTGTATTTTAGCTAATTACGTGTTTGGCTGCAGGGTCGGATCTAAACAGTGATGTGTGGAATGTCAGCATGACTGGAAATAGACCAAACACCACTGTAACACAGCCAGACCAAACTTGCCCCCGGTCTCCATGCTCAGGGGGTCAGGCAAATGTTACAGCTGAATATTTTTGGCAAGAATGTGAAATAGAAACCCTAGTTTGGGGAGGAGGGAGGAAGGCTGGAAAGAAAATGCTTTTATAATGGGTGATCCACTGTGTCATGTGTGTCTGGAGGTATTTAAGAATTTTATTTTGACTTCAACATCTGACATCATGATTTTAAAAGGATGTGGAAGCAGACATAGTATTAATTACTTCAGACTTTGCTTCAGTCCTCATATTTTAATCCTGTTTATGCTAAAATGACTCCCCTGAGCGTTTATTAGATTCCTTGGATTCTAAAAAATGCAAAAACCCACACATCAGCTGTCATGTCATTTTTTTCTTCCATAACAAACTGTCCCACAGCACAGATACTATAAACTAATATTAATTCAGGTTTGAAAGTAGAAACCCAGGAAGATATAAAAATATCTATTTCAGTTCATTTTAATCATTGCCTTTTCAGGTTATAAAGGGAAAAAGACTGAAAATTTTTGTGGACGGATTACTTTAATCTATATTGCACATAAAATTAATTTAATGCATACCCTTCCCTAGGTCGTACTGGTTCATGAAGACTGGACAGCCAGGAATGTAAGCCCACGGGTGTGGCCCAGGCCTACATTATATAGAGACTATATAACGCACCGTGAGACACACAGTGCCGCTGATAACAAGGGAATTCATTTTAGTGAGGCTCATAGGGAAATATTATATGTCATAAAGTAGTCCAGGGCAATTTCTCAATTATTAGCTTCAATTTAAAGAAAAGCAGGGAGTGAGCAGGAATCCCAATGAGTAAGGGAAAGAATGAGAAAGACAAAAACGTAAGCACTTATCAAAATCAACAGTGGGAAATGAGTCCCTTCTTTTGAGTTCTTGCTCAAGGGTCCCTCATCAGAGAGGCTTTCTTTGACTACTTTATCTGAAATAGCCCCTACCCCTAACCACTGCCACTTGCTATTCCCATAACTGGTGTTATTTTCTTCATAGTTTTTATCACCTCCTGATAGATTACAGGTCCCTTGCCCTGTGCTCTCACTAGAATGGAAGCACCATGAGGACAGGGACTCTGGGTTTGTTCACTGCACTATCCTCAGAGTCTATGCTTGTAATTGAGTAGGGATTCAATTATTATTTTTAGAGACAAGGTCTCGCTATGCTACCCAGCTGCCCTCAAAACTCATGGGCTCAGGAGTTTGAGATTGCTGTTAGCTAGGCTGATGCCATGGCACTCTAGCCCGGGCAGCAGAGTGGGACTCTGTCTCAAAGAAAACACAAAAAAACTCATGGGTTCAAGTGATCCGCTTGCCTTAGCCTCCCAAATAGCTGGGACTATAAGTGTGCACCACTGCACCTGGCTAGAACGCAATAATTATTTGCTGAGTTAATAAATGAAGTAATGGCATGTCTCTCCCCTCATAAAAATCTTAACTAAAAACATTTTATACCAGTATTCTTAATAGATAATATACTGGTAATTTTGGGTACAAGCATCATAAGATTTTTTTCAGATAGTTCTGTTTAAAAATAAGTAATTAACTAGAAGACAAAGAATAAGGCATCATATAAAACTAGCAACCCCAGAAGACAACTTCTAGCCTAGTCAACACTAGTTTACTTTTATCATTAGTTCTCAGTCAGAGGCCAGTGAAGCTACCAGATAATGAGAACCAGCAGAATTACTTATGGATTTTGATTCTTGGCTTTCATTCTACCTATTACCAATCTAAAGCTTTCTCCATTTTCTCCAAAAACTGGTTCTAGCAGTTAAAAAAATCCTTACCTCCTGGAAAGATATCCTTTCCCACCCTTCCTCATTCCCAGGTCCCAGAGTACCACCTACCTGTGATTTTACCCAGATTGGCTTTCTGGAGGTCAGGGTTCCTCAGCTCTTCGGCACTTGCAGACTTCATGACAGAGTTGATGGATGACAGGGTGCTGATGAGCTGTGAATTGAGGGAGCCAATCTGGGAGTGAGGCTCCCCAAAAGCTTCTGCCAGTTCACTATAGTTCTCAGCCAGCAGTGTTTGCTGCTCTGCCAACAGTTTCTGGATACGTTCAATGTAGTGATCCAAGCCAGTCATCCCAGATGGAGCCTGGGCTGGGGGGTTCTCCAGGACCTCCCCTACGGGCTCATCCCCAACACCCACGCTCCTCCTGCTGGCTGGTGGCCCCACAGCCAACTGCGGAGGCCCACAAGCTATGGTCCTCATTTTCAGACCAACCAGATAGTTGTCGTTAACATTTATCTGCCCCACGCCCGACTCTTTGGTCTTCACAGCTGATGGCCTGTCAAACCCAGCATTGCCAGTAAGCAGTGTTCCAACACCAATGGACCGCATCTTGGTGGAGGAGTTGATGTCCTTGACTCGACCTTCTCCTACAGCCACCGTCCGCATCTCCACGGTGTAGGTGCTGGTCTGCTTGTCCAGAGAGCTTAGGGAAGTGTTGGTGCAAGATTCTACGAGGGTGGCCATCTCGGTGTTGGTGGACTGGTTCACCTGTTCCAAAACCGTACTGGTGTGCTGGCTGGTGGTATGAGGCACTGCCATGACAGCAGCTTCCACCTGGCCAACAGCCTCAGTGTTCACGCTCCGGGAGGTGCACTCCTTTGGAGAGCAGACAGTCACGTCAACAGAACAATCTCCACAACCGATAGATCGCACTTCTTTGAGATTCAAGTTCGTCTTGAGGAGTGTCAGGTCATTCACAGACTCCTCTGTGTTGCTGCCTGTTTCACAGACGCTGACTTCCACACCCACACTCTTGTCACACCAGTCCACAGACCTCCCGGTACAACGGTCATGCATTTCTACCCTCTCCTTAACAATCCACCGATTCATGGGCAGCTCGGGCCCCGAGACTTTCTCCTTACACTGAGGCCGGCAGGAGACGCCTACACTATTGGTTTGCACAGAGGTCCCGACACACGTGTCCACCACATCCACGTGACTGCCAACCATTTGGTCTCGGGTCTGCACCACTGCCTCCACCAGCTTGCTGAAAACAAGCGGCTGGGCCATCATGGCTTTGTCAACTTTTTTCCTCGATCCAGCAGCCTGAAGTTCTTGTTTTAATTTAGTCATCTCCCGGTCGTGGGTGGTTTCTTTAAGCTGTACTTCCAGGCGGTAGATCTTTTCCTTTAAGGCTTCTATGGTCTGCTGTTGCAGCTCAATTTCTTTGTCAGCTTCAGTAGTCACTCCGAGCATGGCCTCTGTCACACTGACCCCATAATTCCTCGTTTCAATGACTGTCCCCACGGCTGCGTCCTTACAGGACCTGGAGCTTCTGTGGTATACAACAATGTCATTCATGTCCTCCTCGGCACCCACAGCCACAGACCGGCACTCTCCATTCTCCCTGAGCTCTGCGGAGGCCTCACAGCTGCTGTCCTGGATCTTCTGCTCCAGGGCCTGCATGTCCGCAGTGAGCTGTCGGAACTCCTTTATCCTCTGCGTGCTCTGCTCTACGCTCTCAATTTCTTCTTCCTCGTAGTCAATGTACAATTCCCCGCTGCTTCTCCGGGCCCGGGAGGGCGGTTCCAGCTGCGAGGCATTCCCTGCACTGTAAGACCGCTTCCTCATGCCACAGATATCATTCTGTGATGCAGCCCTTTGGTTTTTCAGCTGGGAGGCCAACTGCCTTTTCTCCTCTTGCAAGACTGAGATCTTCACCTGGAGCACAGGGATGGTTCGCACCTGCTCCTCAAGCTCCTTCAGGCGTTTCAGGGCGATGGCCATCTGCTCGCGGATGTGCTGCAGGTGCATGGGGCTCACATTAGTCACTGGGGTGGAGATCCCCGAGCTCAGGGGACTGTGGCGGATGGAGCTCCCCATGGAGGACGTGGTGGCAGCAGCCGGGGCATAGCCACCATAATCACCATTACCGTGGTATCCATTCTGAAGCTGGTGCATGGCAGGATTGTGGTTTCCAGAACCCATAAAGGAGGAGAGGGAGCTCGTGGAGCCCATGCCTCCAAAACTGGCCAGCCTGGGCCTTCTGAACTCACCCGGTGTCATCTGCATGGTGACTCTCTCCTGTTCCAGTCTTCTTCGGGTCTCCATCAGTGTCTTGGTGACATGAAGATTGTGCTTTGGGAGTTGTGGTGAGGGAGGTGGCAGCTGTCGATTTTCTGGGATGGTAAGAAAAGGGGGTGAGGTCTCCAGAGGGGCAGGTGGCCTTGGAACTGGAGTTGATGTAACTTGGCTTCTGGCTAGAAGGAAGTTGGGACACTGCTGCCTATTGTCATCACTATTGGAAGATGAGAGGGATTCCGTGGAAGTCCATACACCAGGTGCGGCCCTGGGTTCTGGGCATGGCACAGATGGCTTCCTCCTCTTCTGGATGTTAAGTTTCTTGATGGTGTTCCCCTTCTGTATGTCATCCACGTATTTAAGGAAATCTAAGTCTAGTTGATAACCATAGGGTGTCTCTACAAAATAAGGGTCTTTCTGTTCTTTGTCACGGTCTCCATTCAAAATGTCATCTGCTTTACCTAAGACAGAGAGAAGAGAATATTATAATGGCATGTAATACACATAATGGTAAAAACTAACATTTGTGTATGTTGCAGTGCAGCAAGGTGGTTTGATTTTAAAAATTGACAGACCTATGTTCTAACCCTGAGTCTACAACCTAACAGCTAGGAGAGTAAGTTAATAAACATCTCTGAACTTCAGTTTCCACCTCAGTAAAAATGGAAATTTCAACTCATAGGCTTAAATGAATGTAGTGAAATAATGATTTTAAAGAGCCAAACACCTAGTAAATCCTTACTAAGTACTTTCTTTTTAAAAGAAAGCATGAAACAAGACTTGAAAGCATTGCCAAGTAGATCATTTGTGTTCTACAGTGTCTCGAAGTATACACAGCAGACATTAAGATTCCTATTTTATAACGTGTTACCTGAGACACAAAATAAGTCAGCAGCAGACTAACAGACTAAGTCAGCAGCAGAACCAGGTGGCCTGGGAGGTGAGTTCCCTCCCTGCTGCTTTTTTTTTACAGACTGGGCTGCCATTCTACATGGTGGCCAAGAAAGCTGCAGTGCCTCGATCCACAAGATCACAGTCTGCCTTGGCACCTCCCCTGCTGAGAAAGTTGGGGCATGGGATGCTGAGTGAATAACTCTGGCAGCAAGGGTACAAGAACACACTCAGAGGAGACTGCAACTCTATTTCGTGTCTTCCACTTCTCAATTTCTCTCCCCATTTAAAAATAAAACAAAACCCTCTCCCAACTAGAGGGAAAGTCTCTCCACCGCAACTTCTTTTGGACAGAACATTCACTGTCCTGGGAATACCTTGTTTTGTATTTGTGATGAATACAAAGAGATGCAAAGGAGAATGAAAATAGGAGCAAACCCTATACTCCAACCACTGGGTCATGTGGCACTGAGCAAACGCTACTTCTGGCTAAACATTCAAAAAAAGAAACACAAGAACCTTTCAAAGCACAGACCTTGCTGCTGACCTGAGCTGTGTGTTTTAAATTTAAAAGCAAGCCCGTCTTTGTTTATTTAAATTGTAGGATAAAGTAATATGTTTTCCTAGAGCCGTACTAATAAGTTCTGCATCTTTACAGTCATGGAAGGGACCCACAGGCATGTGCACCCCTGCCCTGTCTTGGGTATAGAAACCCACCTGACTGCTGTCAAGGTTGAAGTAACTTCCAGCAAACCCGGCTTGCTCTCTGCCCTCCCAACCCCCAACACCGCAGAGCATTTACATCTGACACTCTGAATAACCCTTTCACCTCCATCTGCCCGCTTGCTTCTGAAATATTTTGGAAAAGAAAGCACAAAATGTAGGTTTGCCAAGTAGAGACATAAGAGCATGTATTCTTTTTGACCTGATTTTTAGAATATCAAATTGTTCCAGCTGTTAGAATACAGGTAATAGATTTCCATTCTAAAACGTGGGAAATGAATTCCAGCGCTCAGCAGCAACTATTTTCTAAGCCTAAGAATGGGAGGGCCGAAGGAAAGCGCTGGTGCTGGAAACTTGTGCTCTTGCGAACAGAGTGTCTTTCCTTCTCTTTCTTTGCTTTTTAACTTTCAACTCTACATGGAGAACAAGCTCACTCAAAATATGCAGCCCGACCTGTTTGCAGGACCGACCGTCTGAAATTCCTTCAGCAAAGAGAAACTGCAGGCTGGCTGTGAGGGAGGCAGGCAGGCAGGCAGGCAGGCAGGCAGAGCTTGCCGACCTGGGACGTTCATCAGAGCCGAGGATTGCAAACCAAAGGTCCCTCGACCCTGCCGGGTTGCTGGAGGGGAGTAGAGAGGCCACAGCCCTCCTCCCCGCCCCATGGGGAATTCAGACACCCAGCCACCCACCCCGGGGCGCGCGTCCCCTCCGGCCCCTGCGCTCACCCTGTGGCCCGCGCCGCTCCCCGCCGGCGCCCGCGCCGCCGCCCCGCGCCCCAGCTCCGGCCCTGCCTCCGACGTCCTCGATCCTCACCCCATAAGGAAAAGAGTTCCAACATTTGTGTAAACTTAGCCGGGCCACGCGCGAACACCATAGGCCGACTTTTCACCAATGAAGTCTCCCTCCGGCTTGGGAGACGCCGCCCGGGCGCGAGCACACTCAGCAGCTCGGCATTCCCTGTTTTCTTAAACAGGAAACCGGGATCGTTTGAAAATGCGCCCTTCACTCCGGTTTTGCCAGGAGTTAAAATAAAGCCAGCAATTTAAGCATCGCCAACAGAAAGGCTCTGTCTTTCCTATACCAGTCACTTCTGCATGAAAGAGTCTGTGTTCTCCTGTGGAAACGAAGCGGCCTCAGCCCTCAGTCACCTGAGCAAGTGTGGACGCACAATCGGCCCCACTGTCCCCAGAGTCCCCCGCAGGACTCTCCTCACAGCCAGCGACAGGCGGCTAGCCTTTAACATTCATCTCAGCTGAGTCTGCCGCGGATGAAAGTTTCTTTTTAAAAAAAAAGCCCTTTATCCAGTTACAAAACTAGTATATGCTTGTAAAAAAAAATCATATACAGACCATTTAAAGAAGAAAAAAAAAATCTCACCATGTAATGGCAAATGTTAATATTTTGGCATAACTCCTAGGTTTTTTCTGTGCATTTCTTAACATAGCTACTTTTCCCACTTAAGCATTTTCAGTAGGAAAGATGAACTGATTCAATGTCAGGACTCAGAACACAACAAAACACAGCCCTCTTTAGCACAAGTTGACTGGCCCATCTTTAGTTATTTCTGAAGTTCAACTTAAAGACAGCACAAAAGGCATGGGTCACACTGAATTATCCCCAAGTGAACTTTGGACTTCTAACTCTGGGAATCAAGAAAGGTTAGAATTTAACCATGTTTGGGCTTGATTATTTCCTAATACTGCCAAAACCAGGCTACCTAACAAACTTATAATTCCAATTTCCTTCTCCAGCAACAAAAAAAGTGAGAAATGTTCTCAAGGTATCATTTTTACAGATAACTGTTCATGGTACAAATTATTCTACAATTAAATGAAAATTTTCAATGTTATTATTTTATCTCCTGCTTTCCAGTGTACCTTTATATCATATAATAACATAAATAAGGCACTTACAGGTCCCTAATTTATTTCCCAACTTTATCAAGACAAAGCTACTTTTTTGTTTTGTCTCTCTGTGCATCCTGAGAGTACCACCTTTTTTTTTTTTTTTTTTGAGACAGCTTCTCGCTTTGTTGCCCAGGCTAGAGTGAGTGCCGCGGTGTCAGCCTAGCTCACAGCAACCTCAAACTCTGGCTCAAGCGATCCTCCTGCCTCAGCCTCCAAGTAGCTGGGACTACAGGCATGCGCCAACCATGCCTGGCTAATTTTTTCTATATATATATTAGTTGGCCAATTAATTTCTTTCTATTTATAGTAGAGACGGGGTCTCGCTCTTGCTCAGGCTGCTTTTGAACTCCTGACCTCGAGCAATCCGCCCTCCTCGGCCTCCCAGAGTACTAGGATTACAGGCGTGAGCCACCACACCCGGCCTCAAATTTAATTTTTAAAATTTCCCTCATTGCTGGCCTCTGCCAACCACACATCAGTCATCAAGATGCTGAGAACAAAGCAGATGTTTTAAAATGTTTACTGAAGGAATAAATAATTGAATATACAGTATAAGGTAAACTTTGAAAAACATCTCAGTGCTCTGAAGACATAAGTTGTTTGTTAAGTATTAGTGTTAAGGACCTTTCTTACATGATGCTCTTTCAATAGTTATCTTTAGGTTATAAGTTACGGGTGACTTTTATTTTGTTCTTTACATATTATAAATTTTATCATCAGTATTTATCTTTTTAAAAATATTACAAGTAGTAACTGTTTGGAAAGCAAAAGGAATGTATTGAAATAAACTCTGAGAAAGTTCATTTGGGAGGGGCATGAATTAGGGTACCCATGGCAAAGACTAGATCTTCCTTAGTGTGCATTATTCCATTCTTCCACGCTAATAGCACTCCTTATTTTTAGATGGGCAAATATAAAGTCTATATTTCTTCAGCCTACTTTATCGCCATAAGCAGAAATGTCAGGTAATAACCTCCAGAAACTTCCCTTAAAAGAAAGACACAGAAATAGTTCTTTGATCTACTTTCTTTTTTCTTTCCTCCATCCTGCTGCCTGGAATACAGATGTGATGACCGGAACACTAGCTGCTACCTAGGCCCATGAGCTCATACCTGGGGATGAAGGAACAATGTACTAGAAGGAATCTGGGTCTCAAAGGACTTTGTGGATCAGAGTTACTATAATATTCCTGGAGAGTCTACAGCTATACTTTTAAGTGAAAGAGAAGTAAACTTCTATTTTTCTTTACCTATTGTTTGTTTTGGGTCTCAGTTACCTTGGAGCTAAACTGATTTTTTTTTGAGATAGGGTTTTACTATGTTGTCCAGTCTGGTCTTCAACTCCGGGTTTCAAGCAGTCATCCTGACTCAGCCTCTTGAGAGCAGGAACTACAGGCACACGCCACTGCACCCAGCTGGAGCTAAACTGAATTCTATTAATAATAGATATGGCAGTTTCTCTCCCCACCTTCCTGTCCCAATTAAGACCAGATCTTTTAATATTACACTAAAACTTTTTATTACAAAAAAATTGGTAAATTTAAGATTAAGTATATATAAAAACAACAATTTAAAAAAATCTAAGTGGGTTATAAAGAGACTCCTAAGAGCCTAAGAGGCCTTTTTGGACTAACAGAACTATGCCTGCTTTCACACAGCCAAAAATCCACCGGCTTTATCTGCAAATGGAATCCTGAAAGTAGCAGCTTCCAACTAAATATTCTGGAATTGCAGGGCTGTCTCTGGTGTTTATAATAATTTTCTGAATGTCTGGAAATCCAGTGGTGGAGACTGCTCCTGGCACCCTCTGCCCTCATTATATAACATCTATTGAAAGCTTAATTGGGTACAGAAAATGGTCCTATTTAGTGAAAAAAGTAGGAGAAAGAATTTATAAGAAATGAGATATAGTCTAGCTGGGAGATGATTGCCAAACACCCTAAACATAACACTAATTGAGATCTGTTACAAAGGCATATTATCACCAAGACAGTAGGACAAGTATGTGAACAAGTGATCAAAAGAGAATGTAGTTAACCAGGAGATGAGTTCTGAAAACAAGGTACATGATGACAGAGAAAAAGGTGGTAGAGAAGGGCCAGCGCAGCGCAGTTGGTGCAGATGAAGGAAAGGGAAGGTGAGACAAGGGGAAGGTGATGAGGACAGGAGAGGCCACTAGTCTCAGGGTCCAGAACAGGGCAGTTTTGTTCCCTTACGCTAGGGGCTAAAGGATGTGAACAAAGACAGCCTTGACAATTGCATGTATGAGACTGAAGTAGGGAAAGAGATTTAAATTCAAAGTGACCAATTAAAATGTCATAATACCAAATGTGAAGTGTGGACCAGATGGAAAATTTATTTGTATGTTCAACTTATATAATCAATATTGGTAATAAGGGCATATGAATACATATCTACCTGCCTACTTTCTATCTGTCTTATTTTCTTTCTACCTATCTACACTTACTATTTACCAAGCACCATTCTAGGAGCTGGGGACACACAACAAAAGAGACAAAATCTCTGATCTCACAGGGCTCAAAGGCTAGTGAGGATGGGGATGCATGGAAGGAAAAATAATAATGAAATGAAATGCAATGCAAGGCAAGGCAAGGCAAAGAGCTACATAAGAGGTGGCATTGCCAGAATTTATACCAGTGTGTGTAGGTAAGTGGATGGCCTAATGGTGGGCTATACCACTTCTTACGTTGACATCTTTTCTAACCCGACCTACTGGGAGCAGACGCCAAGGGTCACAGAGTCCTTTTATCTCCTCCCTCTCCCAACCCAGTCTGTACAGTCCGCAATTTGGGGTAACCAAGCACCGATGTGACAGCATCAATTACAGACAACTCTGCAAGTCCAGACCAAATTCCCATGTGTTCAAAGAGAAGGTGAAATCAACAATCTGATTGTAATTTGACTCTTGACTTATATATTTATCTCCTGTAAAACTTAGTGCTTGTGAGAGGGGCCCAGTTTATGGCCTGAAGAACGATGTGAAATTTCCTTGCACTTCTTCTGCATTAATCAAGTGAAATGGAGATACAAATATTTCAAAAAAATCATTTCATCTAGATTCATAGAGTACTACAGGATTTTAACTTTATAGTGAAACCAAACTTGCTGCCCTATAAATAATACTTGGTTTAGGAAAACATAAAAATTAATGTACTTACCAAGAAGTGGAAGATTTAATCATAGGAAATTAGTCTGAGAGTACTAACTGGGGGTTGGGGGGGTGATTTTGTCCCCCAGGGACATCTGGCAATGTCTGGAGACATTTATGGTTGTCACTAAGGGGTAGAAGGATGCTATTGGCATCCAGTAGAACAGAAGCCAGGGTTGCTGCTAAACATGTGACAATGCACAGGACAGCCCCTCTCTCCCCCAACAAAGAAATCTCCAGCCCAAAATGTCAGCAGAGCAGAGGATGAGAAAGCCTATGCTGGAGACAGTGAGTAGAGCAAAAAATTCACATATAGCAATTGAGATTTTGGCTCTATAAGCTGTGGTCTTCAAGTCTTTCATTTCCTTAGTGGGGCCATAACACTGTGTGCCAGCAGCAGGGTGATAAACATGCCACTTTTGAGGAAGAAAGTACTCAATACTTTTCTATATACTCTACCACAATAAGCCATTCTTTAACGTAAGTAAAAAAGCACTGGAGGTACTTTTTTACTTATTTCAGGACACACTGAAATAATGTGTCCTGGTGGACTTTTAAATGGACTAGACTTTTATATTATTACTTTATTAATTAGGACACACTGACTTCTTTGTTCTGGTTTCACTGCTGCACACTCTGGGCCCAATTACTGACTGATGGCGCCATGAAAAATAATTACGCCCCATGCCATGGCTCTCACACGCTGTGTGTGTTTTTCTTCACCAGATACGCTACCTGACCGTTGAAAGCGAGTTGCTACTTCCCATTAACGTATTGTCCCTTCTCACACGAAGCATGAAGATTTTGCCTAAAGAGCTGAGTCAGTCGAGAGAAGCATCCAATTATCACAGATTCCCACATTTGAAAGCAGCAGAGTGCAAGCATCCTGCTGTTCGAGGCCGTCAAGAAGATTCCACGTCAGCAGGAAACAAAACCAGTAGGAGGAATTCAGGTGGAGAGGCAAGTTCTCATGAAGCTAATTACTCAGAGTATGCAAGTAATTGAGTTAGCAAATCAACTTTCCCAGGAATGGAATAGTGGTATAAAGACGACGGCAAAGTGGCACAGCGTCCCTCTGAACGGGTTTAGCAGGAAGTACCTCCTGATGACACTGTTAGCGTTAAGCTCTTTTAGGCCCAAGCAGCTTCCCTCCCCACACAAAGCTATGTGCGGAACACCGTTTGTTAGAGAACACCCAGTGAAAAGGATAGCAACCTAAGTGTTCCTAATTCTGTTTTAAAAGAATGTACAACAGAATGTCTCTTGCTCTTGAATTTATGAGAGAGAGGAAGGAGGAGAGAGGGAGGAAGAGAGGGAAAAAGAGAGAGAGAAAGAGGGGGGGGGGTGGCGGGGAGATTGAAACAGGGTCTCACTATATTTTTCAAGCTGGTCCTGAACTCCTGGGCTCGAGTGATCCGCTCTCTTCAGCCTCCCAAGTAGCTGGACCTACAGGTGCATACTCACCCCTCCCCCAGCTCAGAGAGTCATTTTTAAACCTGCTCTTTTCCCTCTCAGATAAAATCCATCCATCCATCCATCCATCCATCCATCCATCCATCCATCCATCCATCCATCCATCCACCCACCCACCCACTCAAATGATGGGCACCTATGAAGTGTTAGGCTTTGTTCCAAGATGCCTGAATCTCTCTTCCTATGGAGTTCGTACATTCCGTCTCAATTTCACCAATGCCTCCTCAGGTTATAGCTGTTTTAAATTGCTACCCAACCACTTCATGCAAATAAAATATTAATAATATAACATTAAAGAAAGCAAAATTGTATGCCAGAAGTTCGTAAGAAATACTAGGCCAACTGACACATCATATATAGCATAATTGCAATTTTACAGGCTTGGTTTATTTATATAGCTTAATTATAATATGGTGTTGCTTCTTATATACCTAACTCTTCATAATTCCTTTTGGCTCCTCCCCCTAAATCTTTAGATTTCCTCTCGCAGCTGATCTCATCTCTACGTTTTTTACCGTCCCCACAGATGTTAACCTCCACACCATCCCTACATCTTCCATCGTCTCCCATCAATACCCCTTTCCAAACCAGCTCTGTATTCCAAGTTCACCTGCAAGGAGAATGCTGCCTTAAGGAAGATGCAGTTGTTATACTGAAAGATGGATTTACTCACTCATTCAGCAAATATTTATTAAGTGCCTATCATGGGCCAAACACTGCCAGGCGCTAAGCAAAAGAGCCTGTCTGGGTGGCACTGATGAACTAGAGGAGGAGACAGAGAAGTGGCCACACAAGTATATAACAACTGTAATAAGAGCTGTGAGTAAAATACAGGCATTATGCAAGGACAGAGCAGGGACCCCACCTAGGCTGTGGGTAGGGAGTGTTCTTCAAAGGAGCAGTATTTAAGAAGTCCACTGGGCAGTGCGTGAGGAATGGGAGAAATCTGAGGCAGAGGAAATAGCATATGCAAAACATGCCACTTTTAAGAACTGAAAAGGGGATTCTGCAAAGCCTATAGTGGGGCAGAGAGGGGACTAAGCCCCAATCCTCCAGGACCCCACAAGTCATATTTTTGGGTCATCGTAAGTGCACTGGTAAGCTACTGAAGGGTTTTAAACAAGGGAGTGAAATGATCAGATTCGCATTTTAAAAAGATTTGCTCCAGGTAGATGCTGGAGTATGTACTAAAATTCTCTTCAGCATCCTCTATTAGGTTTTCCATGGAATGTTCAAGTCAAGTCCCCATGAATTTTTTTCTAGGTATCACAAATTCCTTTGCTGTGTGAATTTTATCTCCTCAATTAGATAATAAATGCTGGCCATGGTATTAAACTACCAGAACTTAAGACACTGCCTGCATTTGGGCTAGCTTGCCTGTGACCTATACCCTGCCCCCCAAACCCCTAATATTTAGGAGGAAACTGAGAAGGCCTGACAAATTTCAGCTACTCTGGGCTAGAGACCAGGATCAGGTCTCTGGACTTGTCTTCCAGGGGTTTATCTGTTACCCCACTCTGTTATTAAAAAAGAAAATATTTTTCTTTAAACCAATGGATTATTCACTGCAGAGAAAAATTATGGGATTTCCTTCTCTGAAGGTCATTAAAGTATGATAAATCTAATCTGGGAAGAACAGATGTGGCATAAGCAATGGCAGGAAGGAAGAAGAGAGGACACTGTAGGGAACCCTGGCTGTGATTGAGATGGGGAGATGCAGAATGTAGGCTTGCTCCATATTTTAAACTCTAGGATGGGAACAGCAAGGACTGAACATGTCTGTGAAGCAAAGACAACACTGACCCTGGCAGCCAGCACGCATCTTTGTGGACTCGGCTGAGAAAAGTGGACAGCACACTGTTTCCAACCCTTCATGGCTTCTCTACCCATGCGGACCCGGAGCATGACTTAGCCAACAGGCAAATTTAAAGGCAGAAGACAGAGTTCTGGGGGTACTTAAGCATACACTCAGAAAATTCAAACTACCCACTAGGTGGTCTCCAGCAAGGTATATTTTGGGTTAGCTTACCTCTAGAGGCACCTGCCTGTTACTGTCTGCTTGCCTGCCAAGAGTCCTGCTATAGGTGGCCCATACTGCCTGAGGTCCCTACAGCATCTAGAAATCAGGTAACATACCCTCTGCCCACTAGTTATTATTCCCAATTGTCAACACACATCACGTTAGCCAGTGTCAGGGGTCTATTTGACTCAGAAACTCTTTTGACCCCCACTGGCCAGAACTGGGATAATTTGAGCCTCAAAATAATGTAATTAATAATAGTAACAAATTACAATCCAGTGAATAAACTAGGTATCTGTGAGGTCCATTGTGCTATAGTTAACACATACACTAGAGTGCCAACTAATAAATACACAAGGAATTATGGAAAACTCACCATGTAGCAAATGTTCTAACAGTGGCCGATTCAGGCAAGAATCACCACTGGATGCTAATGCTGGTGGGTGAAGATTTCCTACCGAAGATTAGGATATTGGTGTGGTCTCAAAATACCTCACCATAAGATAACATCAATCACAAAGGAAAAAATGGTGACTCTGTGGTGAGAAAGCAGACAAATAACCACCCTGAAAGGTGACTGAAGTTGATGTCGCGTGCCCTGTACAATGCACTGAGGAGAGCAGAGCATCACTTCTGCAGCGTCCTGCCAGGAAGGCTGGAGTCTGGAGTCACTGACGGATCCCGCTTGAAACACACCCTACAGAACAAAAGGTCTCTCCGTTCTTATTTTCTTTTAATCTAGCTGTTTATTTATTTATTTACTTATTTGAAACAGGCTCTAGCTCTGTTGCCCAGGATGGAGTGCAGTGGAGTGATCATAGCTCACTGCAGCCACGAAATCCTGGGCTCAAGAGATCCTCCTGCCTCAGCTTCCCAAGTAGCTGGGACTACAGGTGCACACCACCATGTCCAACTAAATTATTTTTATTTTTTGTAGAGGTGGGGTCTCACTTTGTTGCCCAGGCTGGTCTTGAACTCTTGGGCTCAAGTGATCCTCCTGCCTCAGTATTCCAAAGTGCTGAGATCACAGGTGTGTGCTACTGTGCCTGGCCTTTGAAACTTTTAAGGTCATGAAAAAGAAAGAATGAGAACTCTTTCAGACTGCAAGAAACTAAAGAGACATAATAACTGCATGTCTACACACACACACACACACACGCAAATAGAGCAAATGTGGTAAAATGTTAACCACTGGAGAATCCAAATCTGGATGTAGAAGCGATGAGAGTTCTTTTACAAATTTTCTGTAAGCTTGAAATTATTTTAAGTCTTCTCTCCCTCTCTTCTTCTCTCTCTCCTCTTCCTTCCTTCCTCCCACCCTCCCCTCCTTCCTTCCTTCCCCTGTGCTTTGATGTCTTTAGGGTGCACAGGCAAGTCACCAGGGAGCACAGCCAAGACTCTGCTGTTGCTCATGCTGCAAATGAAGCAGCCTGTTTTCAGGGACAGATGTCTTTGCTTTTCTGTATTACATATTCTTTGAGAACTTTTGTATTTATTTAACATATTCCTGGAAACTTGTACAGCTTCTCAATTATTATTTTTTGCAGAGCGATGTGCCAGGAGCTCCATTATGAAGAATGACTAAAAGTTCCTTTCTGTGGCATTAAATATCTTCAACAATTTAGCCCCAATCCAGCAGCTCCCACGTTTCTCCTCACCCTGGCCCTCAACATACTGAGCAACTTTGAAGCCTACCTACCTTTGCTCATTCTGTTCCCTCTACCAGCACGCTTTTCTCCGTACTGTTCCATCTTGGAGGCCCAACCCAAATTTCATCCTTTGTAAAGCCTTGCTTACTCCCAACTGCTCTGTCCCGGGAAGAACTGTCACTTTCTTCCCTCCATTTTCCTAAAACACTTTGCCTGTGTATACTGACTCATATTATGGTTAGCAGGCACATGCCTACCTGTCTGCCTGCCCCACCAGGCTGTGTTTTGGAGAGGCAGAAGTCAAGCAGTATTTATTTTTGTATCCTCCAGTGCCCCAGCATGGTGCTTGGGACACGGCATGCTTCATGTCTGTTGAAATGAAAAACTCCACATCCAGGCATCTACTCACGAGTAAGTATGGTGGAGGAAGAGATGTAGTGATTTAAAGCAGGCTCTCTCAGGCCAAACTGCCTGCGTGTGAATCCTGGTTCTGCTGCTTTCCACTGTTGGAAAGTTAGATTATACTCCAACTGCACAGTCAGGAAAATAAAAGTACCTGCATCACCATGGTGTTGTGGGCATGAAGAACAATGTGTCTACCATTACCACTGGGATTACTGGACCACCCTCTGCTGTTTGGCAAAACACACATCCTGGGCACCCCAGAGACAGTCCAGTACTCGTCCCCTCTCCCCTGCACCCCACTCCCATGAAGTCAGGGTTTGAGGTGTTCATGCTACTTGTTCAAGATCAAGTAGGCTTGCTAAATTCTTGGGGTCTACGTTGGTTTCTGCTTCCTAGCGTGGACGCGGGAGATGCCAGCAGAGCCCTGCAGGGGATGTGCATGGGTAGGTGTGCACCGGGGCTCCGGCAGAATGGCGCTTGCCAGTCAGGTACGGGGGAGCCCGGTCCTGCATCAGTTATACGCAGGAAGGACATAAAACGAAACAAAAGCAAAAGTAGACAAAAACCCCTCAACTTTTGAAAGGTATACTATGGCCAAGTTAACATATTTCCTTCCCATCATAAGAGGACAAAGGTGAGCACTGATGTTTCTGAGCACTGTCCTCCCTGTCTCTCCTGACGCGCTCAGAGCAGAGACTCTCGTCCACGCACCATGCACGGACCGTGCTTTGGAGCCGCCCAGAGCACCTCCGTGGTGGTCACCCAGAACAGCCAGCCTAAGTTGGGGGAAGGTACGGTTTTGTTTTTGTGAACCAAGAACAGGAGCTACAATTGTCTCCTAGTTCACAGACAAGCAATGGCAGCAGAGGCCTGGAGCGGCGCCATGCAGTGACAAGATCCATATGCCTACGATGCCTGGACTCTGATTTCCAAGGCTGCTTCCAGACCATGACTAACTGTTGACTATACTTGACACAACACTTTACGCCATGGCACGCCATGTGATCCAGTGAGGAAAAATCAGTCGCAGCAGGTGTCAGACCAGGTGAGCGCAGGCACACAGGGCGGGTGGCCCAGCTCTCTTCACGTGCCATCGCCAGCACCTTTCCCGTTGCATCCTAACTGGCAGGACTCGGCGATCCCCAAATGCAGTGTCCCTTCAGCTGTATGGTCAGTTCTACTCTGGGCACGGCGCAGGGTGAGGAGGAAGAAAGCAGAAAGGGTTACTGCTCCTGGGAATGGGGTGGAATGGCCTCTGTCTTAATAAAGGGCACATTGTGTTAGGGAGGCACATGACAGTAGCAGGGACCTTGCGGTTTACACAGTGGCTCTCTCCTCCAGTGTTCAGCGCCAACCACAAGGTGCAGCAACTCTGTCTCGAAATAGCCACGATGCCCCGGGCACCGCAGTCCCTGCTTTTTACCAACCCAGGCCACGGTGCTCTCTAACGCCCACTGTCTAATATGAAGAATTCCTGCTGAAATATGGCCCAAATCCATCATGCATGCACGGGAGAGAACAAACTTGGGAACTAATTGCTGTTTTCCAAACTTTCTGCAAAAATAACATGCTGCTCTAAGTGTAAATAGGAAATGGGCCAGTTCAAAGGGTAATTTTGTGAAAAGCCCGAAAGGAGAACAAGCTAAGACTCTGGAATTGAATGGGCTTTTCTAACAAAACAGTACAGTTTTGAGGGGTGGTGGTGAAGGAAAGCTACAGTATTTGTATGAATTTGTACAGTATTTGTATGAATCCCAGTCTTTATTTTGTTTTACAGTGTTTATATAAGGAAAAAAAAAAAAAACAGCTTCAATGCACAGTGAGTGACTCCCTATTAGAAAAACAGACCTGGAAACAAATGACCAAAGAGAGATTTAGCAACAGAAAGGGGAATTTTGGAATTTAAGTAAACCATAAACTTAAAACCTCAAACCTTAGCATATACATACAACCTTCCCGTCCTACAGCAATGACATCTTTATATTAAAGGCACAGCCAAAGGTGAAGTTTTCACTGAACCAAAACATCAAGCACTGAGTTATCCTTCCCAGCTTGTAATAAAAGCAAATAAATATTTTTCATAACATACAGAGCTTGGGTTTCTATTTCACCAACCCCCACCCAAATGTCATGCTCTCCTCTCGCTTTCTTTTTTGGGCAATTCCTACTTACCCACCCAGAAACAAAATAACTGTGATTTTCAGCCAGCAGGAAGCCAGGTCTCAGGCACACTTCCCTCGGCATTAAAGGGACTCCACGCATTCGCAGGCAAAGAGCCCAGGAGCTGTTGTAGAGAACTTATTTATACCCATTTGGAATTTCCTGACCAACTAACAGCCTGCTGGCCATGGGGTTTAATTCCAGGTCTCTCGGCGTCAGTGAGACAGCAAAAATTACCCACTAACGAAATCGCCAGCAAGGATCTTAACAACAGAAAAAGAAGAGAAGACAGACCTCTCCCATCCCCCTTCTAATTGTTCAGACAAACTATCTTCATACTCTTTAGACACGTGAAATGCAGGCCAGAAATGCAGCTGTAAACCTGTTAATTCTAGGGAGAAATTAGACAGAAAGGCAGCAAATGTTTCTTTATTCTTCCAGCTGACTTATGCCTCTCCCCGCAAGCCTACAGTGCTAAGAAAGGCTCTCTGTTAGGGTCTGAGCTCTAGCGCGGCAGCTGGCTTGCGAAGGAAATGATTCACTCTCAGGCCGAACCCAGGCTGGGCTAGAGGCCAGTGGTTCCTTTTCTTGGTTTCTTCTCATTTGATGCAACGTGCAATCTGAAGGCTAAAAACACTCACACTGGTAAACCACAGATCCCAGCCTTTCTCCAGTGACATCCACCCCCTGCCCCATCGTTCCCTTAGACATGTTATCCAAATTAGACCATGTGACCTTCAAAAATGCAGAATTGGTTCCCAGACAAGTGCATTCTATTTTTTGGGGTGATAACATCTCTGAGAGACCTTTTGTTTTTGTTTCAGAAAGTTAGTAAAAATGATATATCTCCCTCTAATGGTTTAAATTCATCACCTCAAAAAAAACAAAAGGAGTTTCTTTTAAATTCCTTCTTCATCAGTGGCTACCTCCACTAGGTACAGGTGGCTCTGGTGGAACAAGACTTGCTGAATTCTATCATAGGGCAGACAAGCAAAGCCAGTTTCTAAACAATAAAACAGATCAGCAAAGATTAGGGGTGACTCTAAATATCCTGCTTTGTAAAACTCACAGGGGACAGCTGCGTGGAGGGAGGCACAGTATTACAAGAACCCACTGGATTTGCCCAGTTTGACCGGCTTGCTTGGTGCCCGCACCCGCCCGACCTCGCTGTGTCCACCTCCGCCTCCGCCCCTCCTGCTGGTGACCACACCTGCGGGCAGGACGCCTCAGAAGCGATTATGTGCCAGACAGACATTTTTCTGTGTGAAGCTACAAAGATTAAACTTTTTAAGATGGTGGCACTCACTCCGGCTTGTTTTACACCACGTTTAAACCCATAGGTTTATAAATAAACCCAAATATGTGAATAAATGGATTCAAAGAGAAATAACAGACTAAGAACAAAGCTAATCAAGTGCCAGATACTTTGAAATATCAGGTCCAAATAATGCCACGTTACTTTACCCAACAATACCTCCAGACATAAGAGATCTGAGTTAGGCCTAATTTTTTCCTTTTTCTTTAGGACTTAAAAAAGAAATGTATAGACCATGGGAAGACACAGTGAGAAGGAAGCTGTCTGCAAGCCAGAAAGAGAGCCCTCACTGGAAATCAACCATGCTGGCTCTCCGATCTCAGACCCCCAGAACTGTGAGAAAATAAGTATCTGCCTTTTATTTAAAAAAAGAAAAAAAAAGAAATTTGAGCTACTTTACATACCACAAAATGTACCCATTTTTAAGTGTGCAGTTTGATGAATTTTAGTAAGTGTACAGTTTGGTGAATGTTAGTAAGTGCAGACAGATATGCAGCCACTACCCGGTCTTAAAACACATCCACCACCCTAAATATTCCCTTGAGCTTGTTTTATCATTTGCTTTTGACAAAGAAATTTTCTTCTACTTCTGAAAAAAAATTCTGGTATTATTTAGTCACATTGTTATATTCCAAACTAAGAATACATATCAAAAGACTTGTTCTTAAGAATTAAACTGAGGAAAAGCATCTGAATGTGGTGTTTCTTCATCTTAAAAAAAAGATTCTGCTAACTTTTTATTCATAAATATTATGTTCTGATAAGAATACAGCTTAGTACATAAAGCAATTGGAGGTAATTATTTTGCTAGAGTAGCTTGTATCTGATCCTGTGGGTGTTTGCCTGTAGCTTCTGTGAATGTGAGGTCCAGCAGAAAAACTCGTTGTATGCAAAAAAGTGTCTAGTTCTTTATCAGAGGATGGCAAAGGCTGGGAAGAAAAACAATTGAAAATATGAGCTCCTTCTGCCTGGAAACCATCAGTCATGAAGGTTCCCACTGTAGAGACAGACACACCTATCTGCCTTTACTCTCTCTTAATGTACATACAAAGAAGCCAAACAAGATGTGGGAAGAGGAAGAGGAGGTACTCAAGGCTTTTTACTCCAATAGGTGGGGATTTAGCCAGAAAAGGGGACTCCCAGTGAGAAGGGAAACCTGCTAGAGACAGAAGACTTCTGTGATGCCAGGCTGAGGGCGCACTGGCAGTCTTTGTCCCCGAGCTGGTGGCTTCAGAACTTTGGGACTGCAATCTGGAACCACAGTTCTGATGCTTAACAGGATTACTGCAGCAAGACTCCTCCCCACCCCACCTGGGCCTGCACCCTAGACTAGGGTCTCTGGACTAGAGATAAAACCAAAAAGTTGGCCGGGCGCGGTGGCTCACGCCTGTAATCCTAGCACTCTGGGAGGCCGAGGCGGGCGGATTGCTCAAGGTCAGGAGTTCGAAACCAGCCTGAGCAAGAGTGAGACCCCGTCTCTACTATAAAATAGAAAGAAATTATTTAGCCAACTAATATATATAGAAAAAATTAGCCGGGCATGGTGGCACATGCCTGTAGTCCCAGCTACTCGGGAGGCTGAGGCAGAAGGATTGTTTGAGCCCAGGAGTTTGAGGTTGCTGTGAGCTAGGCTGACGCCACGGCACTCACTCTAGCCTGGGCAACAAAGCGAGACACTGTCTCAAAAAACAACAACAACAACAACAACAAAAAAACCAAAAAGTTAAATTAAGTAGTGAGTGGTTAACCTGACTCACACTGTGGACATCTCAAGATGCATGTTTCCTGGCAGGCAGTGAATTTACCTTCCTCCCCAGATGTGTTCCTCCTGTTATTGATTTCCTAACACCCTTCCAGTCTCCCAGCTACAAATGCACCTGGGTTATCAGCCTTATGACAGCTTCCCTCCCCCTCCCTCACCTCTGCCCCCACCACCTCCTCTGCACAATTCATCTGGACTGCACTGTTCCAAGGGCTTTACGCAGACATCAACTCATTTAATCTCCACAACAACCCTGCACCAAGGCAGGTGTGATTATTTTGGCATTTCACAGATGCAGCTGATGTCATCCATAAGCACCTGCTATTCTACTGCCACTGCTTATTCTGCTGCTAACTTAATACTACATTGTGCGGAAAAGCCATAAACTAGGTACACTCTCTTCTGTAGCCCTTATTTAAAAAAATAAAATAACAAGATCAAAACACCACCCTCGCGTGCCTCCCTCCATTTTTCTCTCACTTAGACTTACCTTGTGAAAAACGCTACCTATGGGTATTTGTCTTAAAAGAGACAGACGGAAAAGCAGGATGCTCTGCTATCCCTAGACTTACCTTGTGAAAAACGCTACCTATGGGTATTTGTCTTAAAAGAGACAGACGGAAAAGCAGGATGCTCTGCTATCCCTCTGTGAGGGCCTGGGTTGTTTCTGCTACACTGGACACTCCCCCCAAGCCCTAAAGAGTTCAGATATCTTATTCATGCTGCTTTTATGCACCCCTTCCCTCTGAGGCTTAGGCACGGGGGTGGTGACAGGACTTAATGGGATTAAAAAGGACAAGTTGGGTAAAGGCTCCTGCTCTGCTCTACCTCCTCCTGTTGGGTGTGTACCATGCTGGGTGTTGGGAGAGGACTTAACAAAAGGGGAGATTTTCAAAGGAGAAGCCACCCCAAATTCCATAGAAGGAGGGTGTGCTACAGGGAGGTGAGTGACTCTTGTCAGGAGCATTTAGGAAGAGGACTCTATGGAATGGTCCAGTCTTAAAAGACAAGAAAAACCCTCTGGCCTTCATTATTCTTTACTCAACAAAATGCACTTTGCCAAACACATGTAAATGCCTAAAATTGGAGTCATGCTGAGTTTCTGCACGTTGGGCTTTCTCTGCAGTTTGGCTTGCCCCACGGTTACGACCTTTATCACGTTTAAAGAGGAGACCGTCTGGCAATATATTTTCATCCAAGATTTGAAATCAACATTTAAAAGAGCACAAATGACAAAGAACTGGGAGGCCACAAAAGTAAATAAGGGAATTGAGAACGTAAATTAGATTAGCACAAAGACTCTACAAAGGCTGTAAATAAAGAATAATAAGGACTGTTTATTTCCCCACATCTGAAGGAGGTGATAGGTCTTCAGAGACCTTCTAGAGAAAACAGCAGGAAAGGCGGCAGGCAGCCTGCTGGCCAGGCACCTGGAGGTCACTAACCCGGGTTCCTATCCACAGTGTCAACCAGCCCACCAATCTGGACCAGATAATAGCAGACTGGAGCTCCACCTGCTCTCTCTCTGGTAGAGTTGCTGACAAGCATCAAAAGGAGCAAGGAAAGGCCATGGCAGCCAGAACATTCTAAAGGGACTCTGATAATAACCCTCCATCTCCCCTTGGACAGCCAAGTTATACCTGGTTACCTCTTTTTAGAAGCCAAGGCATTTAATAGCCAATACATTTTTAAGGCTGCCTTAGAGCAAGTGATGGACAGAAAGCAGGTACTATAACGTCCACGAGAGGAGGCAGAACACAGGAGTGTGTATGTGACGTAGTGAAAGCCATCTGCTCACTCTGGAAAAATACCCAGGTGAACCTTCAGACATGATTAACAGATCAATCAACTGGCAACTATAGGGGAACGGGAAAACAATACAGCAATATCAGACTGGCCACTGGCAGGGCTCGATCCCCCAAATCCTCAAGCAGGCGCCTGGCCTGCTCTCTGCTCTGTGCCATGCCAGCACAAAGCAGGTGCTCTGCAAACTTTTCTTGGTTGAACGCTGAATCTGCTGACTCTACAAAGACTACTAAGCAAGGCATGATGGGCATACAAAGAAGAGGACATGATTCTTGCCAATTAAAACCTTCAAGTTTACAGATTAGTGAGGCACACCACCATAACTCTTAATTAAAAGCAAGTGTTGGCAACTCTTTAATAGAAACACAATTTCTAGGAATAGAGGAAGAGATGAATTCCTGTTGGGAGCATCTGAGAACACTTGCTGGGAGAGGTAAGAGAGGTAGCAGGACTTGAAGGATAGGAAAAGCTTGTATTGTCAGACACGGGAAAGACATCTAGGCGAAGAGCACAGTGCTCTGAGCGAAGCACTAACTGAGGAGCAGGGAGGGGTGGGACCAGGAACCACAGCTGGGGTGGAGCACAGGCCCCTACTTCTCACACAACTCTTTGGACACAGCTGGTCTCTGACTGCTGGAAGCCATTGGGGGCTGGGCGGGCCCTTCATGATTTTTGCAGGCACCAGAACTGAAGAGACAGAAATAGCCCACAAATTCTGTCAAAATGAGACCCAAAATAAAGATTCAGAGTTAGGAGAAAGGAATAATTAGAGATCAAAGTCTGTGAAAATGAAAATGTCTGGGATACAGAAAAATAATAAAAGAATATAAAAAGCTCAATGATCCTGCCAGCCATCCTGAAGTAAACAAAATCACAACGCAGTGAGAATGAGGCAAAGACAAACCAACTTGCACAGGCCCTCTGGGCTGGTCCATCACACATAGGAGGGGAATGGCTGCCCTTGTGCCAAATAAACCTCTGAGCAGTCATTTTTAAAGTGAGAAACTGAATGAATGAAATCACTGAAGAATTTTTACTGAGTTTTGTATCATTCCTCCTAGTAGTCCCCAAACTACACTCACTATTTAGAAAGTATACTTTCTCATCATCAAAGTGTCCAGGGGACACGACACCAAAGAATTATACCCCAGGGGGAAAGCCCCCATCCTAAACCCCTTTACCTTTCTGGAAGATGTCCTGCCTCAAGTTTCTTCATTTAAAATCAGCATCCTGAGTGAGGTGCTGTGAATTCCAGCTGCAGTTTTCCTAGTGCCCATATAACGTCCTAGCGCCCTTCCGGCCTGTGTGTGTGACGGGCAGGCTGATAGGTACGCAGCCACGCTGGAGCCCAGGATGTGATGCTGCCGTTTCCCCTCAACGTTGCCAAACAGCTGTCCCTGCGGCAGATTTGGACGCCGTGTAAAGTGTGGTGCTAATGGAAAAATCTGGTGGCACAGGGCTTTGGTGTTTTGCAATTTTTTCCTGTAAGCAGCATTGTTGGAATGGTTTGACATGCAAACGATCCCTCCTCCCCCACCAGCCTACAGGCTACCAAGTCTCCACCCTAGTGTGTTAAAAAAAAATCAGCACATCACATCGTCAGACTGATTCACCACTTGGAGAGGTGGAGCACTGGTTAGGGCACATGCTGCCTAAGCCCAGCAGGTACTTCTGCCTCCTCTGCCAGGGCCCGGAAGACAAATGGGTCTTTGTCCTCACAGCTGGAGGGGAACATGCCAAATGGAGTGCCCCCAAAAAACATTTCCATGGTGCATCCCTGATCTGAATAAAGCATCCCAGTCAATCAGTCTAAAATGCTGAGGAAAAGCAATAAATCAGCTGTACCCTAGTAGGCATATGGACTTGGATGACCGGGATACTGACAGCAGAGAAAGAGAGAACTTTTCCTAGCTCTAGTTATAAGAAAGAGTTGATGTATATGACTAGGGCTTTAAAGATATTAAGCACTAGGCTTATAAATCACTGGAAAGAACCTTTCTCTCTCTCTCTCTTATATTTCCAGTTTGGAATATTCTCGCCACTTTCCTCCAGGAGACTGGCAAATGAACCTGCAGTACAGAAGCACTTACGATGCCTTGGCCTAATGGACGGTTGATGTGAGAGGAAAAGGCACTCAGATAAGTGGGCGGGGATGGGGACATTTGGCAGGATGAGCTGAATCAATGTTTTCACAAAATTATTTGCAAAGCTGATGGGATTTACCAACTAAACCAAATATTGTGAGACTAAATTCAAGACATGTGACCGACTTTTGACTCCACCAAACAGAGATCATGTCCAAAATACAAAAGATCCCTCGTAGAGAAAACTTTTCCAATTTAATAAAATCACAAAAAAGGAACCAAAATAAAATTAGTACTCATGACTATTAGAAGCAAACTGCTTCCATACAGTGACTCTAGTACTGCCTCCCTTAAATCAAGGTTTATACAGTGACACTGTAACAAGTCTACAGTCTCTGATCCAGCTGGGAAAATGTCAGGGGATCAGTTAAATATGGTTTGCCACAAACAAGAAGGGATAAGAGTACAAAGATTTAACTTTAAAATAAGAACAAATCCCAAGAATCCAACAATTTGTCCCTTTGCATAGCCCTTCCTTATGTCTATAGTTCTGTTTTTCTCTTTTTTTTTTTTTGAGATAGAGTCTGTGTCGCCGATGCTAGAGTGCCATGGCGTCAGCCTAGCTCACAGCAACCTCAAACTCCTGAGCTCAAGCAATTCTTCTGCCTCCGCCTCCAGAGTAGCTGGGACTATAGGCGTGCACCAACCACGCCAGCTGATTTTTTTCTATATATATTTTTAGTTGCCCGGCTAATTTCTATTTTTAGTAGAGATGGGGTCTCACTCTTGCTCAGGCTGGTCTTGAACTCCTGACCTCAAGCGATCCTCCCACCTCAGCCTCCCAGAGTGCTAGAATTACAGGTGTGAGCCACCGTGGTGCCCAGCCTAGTTCTGTTTTGTCTATCTGTTGATTGGAAAAGCCTAATGAATATCACAGAATATTATTTAACCTGCATTTCAGCTGTGGCTTGCTCTAAGAACTACTAGGATAAGAAATCTAGTCAGTGTATATATTTTTAAAATCCTCAAAATAGCAACGTACTTATTTTTAAGTGGTGAGATCACTAGTCTGTATAGACCTATTAGCTGAGATCACTAACACTATATGTATAAATGGGCTACATTATAAAAACTTCTCCTGTTTTCAGGATTCATAATGAATTGCAGTCCAGAAGCAGAACCAGGCTTGGCCTCTAAAACATGAACATATTTTTCCTAAAGCATATGGAAATGAGTAAATCAGTTAAGGCTCACTCTAAAAATATCCAACAGAGAAGCCAAGAAAGGAAAATAGAAAATTATCTTTTTTTTTTTTTTACTTAGAATTTCTACAATTGTTTGAATGAATCTTATAAAATCTGACTTTCTAGTTGGTCTTCTTTAAGGTTTTTATTATAGAAGTCTACTCAATGCAATTTTTAAAAATTTTGTCAGAAAAGAGCAAGAATTTATTGTTTCTGTGAACTTGAAAACTATGCTAATATTTTTCATGCCAGATCAAATCAAACAACCTTTTATAGAAAAGGAGCCAAAAACAGAAGCTGTGAGCTTTAGTCACTCATTTTCCTCCAAGCGCTTACAAATCTTTCTCAGAAACTGCACAAAGGAGATGAACTGAAATTATCCCGGACACAGGAAGAAGGCAAACCCTGGAAAAGGAAGCAAATGAGCTGTACTTCTGATGGGCTCAGCCAGCCCACCCAAGTCATTCAAGAAAGAGGGGAAGTGCATAATCAGAAATAAATGCCAATACTCACAATGGGAAGTCTGCCGAGGAAGAGCAGAGCACAGAATATCCAAATCCTTGTAGGAAGGGCTGTTTTAATCCTTTCACTGACTACCCAGTCTCTTAGAGTAACAGCAACAGCTCAAGTTCTTAACATAGCGAATCTCCCTTTTGGGTGTTTGTGTTTTTTTCTTTCTTGTTGGCACCTACAGAGCATCTCGACAGATGTCTCCAACCAAAGGGTTCCCTGCCCAGCAGCTGGGAACAGCAAGAGCCCAGACTCTCTCCTTCCTACACCCAAATAGGCAGGTACTCCCTGGAAGATAAATCATCCTTCCTCCGCTTAGCTGGAGAGCTAATCGCCTGTCTGAAACCTGATGCTTAACCCATTATGACTCGTTCAAGGTTTGGAGCAAGACAGCTTATAAGGTGAAGCTGGCTACAGGTTACAACTGAAGCCTGAGAGTTTGTAAAAGCAAGCAAGCCCCGACAAGGGAGGGAGACTCTTCAAAACCTCTCTGGGGCTGGATGAATTCTGGGGTTCTGATTAACCAAACAGGCAAGACTCTGAAACTCGGGGTCTCCTAGCATTTTAGCAGTTATGAAATCCAAATGTAACTACTTCTTACCTAAAAAAGATTATCTTCTCAAATACCACCACTATTAAAAAATGCATTATCTCATTTATAAACTTCAGTGTGAAATTAGCCTTCAATAGACTAGCAACTTAAGTTTCACTGAGAGTTGAAATGCATAATTAAATCCAGTTATTAAACACACACCTCATACTAGGATGAAACTGCAATAAATAAATATAAGGAATTAGAATATGTTTATTGATTTGGCTTGATGGAATAATTCACACTAAGAAAAAAAAACTTATCAACATAACTCCCATCAGGAAGGACATTTTATTTTTAACCACTCTACTTTTTGAGGTTTTATGTAGTTTTCTAAAATACATACTTTTCCCTTGATCTGTTTAATCAGAACTTCAGAGATACCACACTTCTGACTTTAAGTGTCAACATAATAAATACTTGAACAAAGGAAAAATACTCTCCATGTCTAACTTCTGGCTTAGCCATTAACTAACAGCGTGAGCTCAGCAAGTTGTGTGTTTTGACATCTGAGAGCAGGGAAGAGAGGCTAGACAACCGAAATGGGAAAGATCCCTCTCTAACTCTAACCTGTGTTTTTATGTTAGGCTGCTTGTTTTACCCTCGTAGCTCTTCTAATGGTCCTGAACACACTACTCATGGGAGAATACGAAGCACAAATAAGAACATGCATTTTAATCCTTGTGCAAATCCAATCAGGAGCCCCTGGAAAGTCATGGAAGGCACCCCTGAATTAAAGCAGCCCCCGTTTCTGATCAGCTCACCCTCTACCTCTGGGCTAACGCTAACACGGACTCACCACCACGACGCACGGCCTCCGCTGTGCTGCTCTGCGTCCTTTCCTTACAGATGGTCTCAGGAAACACCAGGTTGGTTCCAGCCAGACCGGTCAGTGCAAACTAGTCTTACACTTGACAAACAGCACGTAATTCCTGCTGTCAGGTTCACCGCAGTGGGCTCAGAGTTCTGTTTGAGAAATGCTCTTGCCCAGAAAAAATATTTACACAACCGAGAGTGGGCTGCACGGTAGCAGTGCAGGGCTCTGCCTGCTCCGCCACGAGTCTTTGGCACTGTCTGATTGACCTAGCCTTATCGGTGGCCTTTGTACCTCATTTGAGAGTAGCACAGAGACAAAACCTGGAACCAAATAACTGACCAAAGGAACAAGATTCAAGCCCCATAAGTTACTAGAGCTGTGAAAACAGTTGTGCCCTTTAACCTCGTTTTCCTGTTTCTGTGAAATTGTTATCAGGAAATCATCAAAGAGGAGGAGAAAAGTGGCCAGGCAGGAGATGTTCCCTGCGTAGTTATCTACAATGGGGAAAATCTGGAAGCAGTCCAAACATTCAAAGGAAAAAAGAGTAATTGAACTGGGAGAAATACACTGAGGAGTATTACATACTCGTCACAAATATTAATTTGAAAACTGTTTTCCATGAAGACTTACAAAAATGCGAAGAGTGTTAAAGTTAAAAGCTGAACACCAAAATATATGAAAAACTTACTGACACTGTGTTTAAGTCTGCTAATCAGACAAGGCTTAAAAAGAAATATTAAAAATAAGACCTTGCGTGGAATTTTGATTAATGCTTCCCTTCTGTTTTCCGATCACATTCTATGAATATTAATTTAAATTAAAAAATTTTAATGCAGTTCAATAAGCACCTTAAATGAATGTGTATCTATCTGAAAAAGCAATAGCAAGAGGGGACAGCTATAATAACCTGGCAAAGGCAAAAAATGTAATAGCAGGTGTACAAAGTCACTTCACAGTGCTCACCTATATATTTCACAGAACTGTTAAATGAGGACGGTAATACAGTCCCCTGCCCCAATGCCACAGCATCCAGCAGGGCCTGACACAAGGGTACCTGTACCTAAGCAGGTGTGTACTAGATCAGGAGCTTGTGACAGGGACAAGAGACCAAGGAGAATGGTGCTATCCCTGACATTGACCAGCACTAAATGTTTTTAAAAAGTGTTTTTACAGCTATGACTTTACTCTTTTCCTCACAACAACCTTGTGAGAAGGCAGGACAGCTATTATTATCTTCATCTGACAAATAAGCCACTTTGTTATTTGGGTTCAAAAGCAATTCTAAGGTCTAATTAAAGTTTCACAACATTAATTAGTGCTTAAAGAGGTATCAATCAGTGCATCCAGTTTACAGCATGATTCAGAAACTTGGGGGTAAAGCAGATTGTCCTCATCCCTAAACCCTGGAGAAATACAGCTGTTTTCCTAACCAACCATCTCCATTTGCTTCTAGACAGCTACAAGAGAACAGTCAAGAGCAATTTACGATGCTCTTATCTCATTACATTAACAAGAGACATTATGGTACTGTTAGCAATACCATAATAAAATGTTTTAAATTAATGAAAAGAAAACTGTGCCAGTCAACAGAAGTAGGATGGAGGACCTGGTGTGGTGAAAAAGAAACACTGACAAATGATTGACAGTGACAGGGGAAGGGGGGAAGGGCGTTATGGAGGGGATGCAATCTGGAAGGGGTACATAGGGAAGGCTGCCAGGTTTAGAAAATAAAAAAATAGAACACCCAGTTAAAATGAATTGAACATAAACAATTAGTAAGTTTTTAGAATAAGTATGTCCTCTATATTACCCGGCAACTGTACACAGGAGACCTCAACTTTCACTAGAATATACAATCCTTGAGAGCAGGCATTTTGCCTATTTTGTTCACAGCTGTATTCCCAGAGCCTAAAACAGTGCCTGGCACATAGTAGGCACTCATTCATTTTTTAATTTTTTAAAAATGAGTCAGAGCTAGATTCCAAATTTTGCTAAAGCACATTTGTGATTGATACTATGATTTTTAATTGTACAGAATAATTTCTTGAAAATTTTCCATTTAACAGTAAATGCTGGAAAAACATTTTGTCTATCCATAGCCACTGAGAGAGTAACAAATGTGAAGGCCTTAGTTTCCATTTCATTTCACCTAGTTCAGTCACAAAATAAATAGCTCTATAATTATTCTGAATACAAATCTTTCTGAAACACATTACATGGTTTGCTGGCAGGCATGGGGAACCTGCAGCCTTCTGATTTCAAGATTGTCCTTTCTTGAGCACCAAAGGAGGGGAAGAAAAGTTTCATCTTTCTCTGCTGCACCCTTTTAATAAAATGATTTGTTCTTTAAAATTTGGATTCAAAGAACAAGGCCTGTAAAAAGGCCACACCTTAAGGACCTAGGAAGCTACATGTGGCCTTAAGGCTGCAGGTTCCCCACCCCTGCACAG